GATGAGAGGGTTAAAATATAACCCTTAGATTAATCAAGTGAGAGAAAATTAATCTAAGGATTATATTTTAACCCTCTCATCTCTCATAATAAATTCTCTCTCACTTGATATGCTCCCTCTATATATATATATATATATATATACCGTATATGAGAGATAGATTTATCTTCTTTTTTTTTAGTGAGTATGAACACTTGTAGGCAACAAAATTCTCGGTATTTAACATAATTGCACATATAAAAATTTAAAAACAAGACTATTGATTAACTTATAATCTTAATCTATTCATTCATGTACTTGTTGATAAATAAAATTTATTCCAGATATAAAATCAACTAAAATTTCGTATAACATGCCTATATTTCTAATGCAAAAGTTAATTTTAAATTTATATCTATTGATTCTTCTAAATTTAATTTAAAAGTATCATTTCTAAAGGCAAACGAATTTTTTAATTAACTATAATTTTAAATTTAATTATTTCAAAGTTAATTATACCAAAATCTAAACTTATTATTGTAAATATGTAATATTAGTATAATTCCTAAAATTCTCCATTAACTCATACTTTATTATTTATTTATTTTTAGCTTGGAAGATTAGTCTGGTAAGTTTCGGCCGCAAGAATATCTTGCTTTAAAAAGGAGAAAACAAAATAGAATATATATATATTTGTATTTCTTACAAAGACAATCTTATTTGAGTTTTTTCTTTTACTAACGTAGGAATAAAATAACGAATTACAAAGTCTAAGTCAAGTTCTAGAAAAGCTAAAATTCCTATAGTGGGGGAGAACCACAAAGTTTACACGGGGAAGAAGATGAAACGATGTGATAAATCACTACATTTACTACTAATTGAGTATTATATAGTGGAAGACTAAACAAAATACATTAGAAGATAAAGTTTATCATATAGTTAGTAACTAATATCTTGTACACATAAGCTATATAAAAAATATAGTACTAAGAGTAAAATAAACCTAAGCGTTAGTCGATATTTACACAATACATGACTACAAAGTAGCCATCAACAAAACTAGCCACTTCCAACGTAATAGTCCTCCAAAATGTACAAATCATCCAACTAATCCTATTATGTTTTTGTTAAGTCTCAATTATACCTCTTTTTGGACAAGACTTAATGAACAATTCTACTCATTCTTTGAACCACTGCAATATAATTGTTCTCTTTTTGATCCATTCTGTGTGTAGATATAACTAACCCAAATTTAGTTAACAATACCTTAATACACCTCATTTTTGTGCAGGTATTGAGCTAGAGACTTGAGGATTGATGACCCATAGGATTGAAAATCTAAGAAGCTAAGGAGCAGAGGAGAGTGACTGCGCCGGGCGCAAGATGACCCGCGCTGGGCTTGAGAAGAACAGAGTGCCTCATCTCTGAAAGCCATATATGCGCCGGGCGCGAGACTACCCGCGCCAGGCGTGTTCGAGACAGAGAGTACCTGAAACTCTCTGGAAGACATTGCGCCGGGCGTAAAAGGAATTGCGCTGGGCATGTACTGAGGCAGAAAATGCTTACCTTCCCTGGAAGGCCCTGCGCTGGGCGAGAAGACTTATTCGCCGGGCGCGAAACCCTAATCTGACTCCCCAAGCTCGTATTTGAAGACATTTTCGAGGGTTTCTTCCTCATTCACACATTGGGCGCGTTTTAGGAGCTGTGGAAGGGATTCCCGGAGCTTGGAGTCGTTCGTGTGTGGGTCTTTCCTTCGGTTCTTCATTTCTCTCTTCATCTCTATTTTGTATTTGCCCTCATTGTTTTGAGTGGTTCTACCCATTTTTGTGGGGTTAGATGTAACCAACGTATTCTATTGTAATCCTTACGTTTTCAATGATATATATATTTGTTGTTCATTCATTGTTGTGTATGTTTCTTTTCTTAATGCTTGCTTTGGATTGATTCTCCTTGCATGATATAGGTTCCATTGGGTATTGAAAAATAACCATTGAAACTAGCTCTGAAACAAATGCCTAGTGGGAAATGTATCTAGGAATGGAGCTTGGCCCATTAGTAGTCTTAAACCCTAGCCCGTAATGCGGGTGTAGATATTGGGTACTCAAGGGATTGATATTCAATATCCGCACATAAGCTCTTGCTCTAAGGGATTAGGTTTGAGTAAACTTATGGGTTGACTAAGCAATGTATGTAACAAGAGATTAAGGATTCATCAGTGTAACGTTCGGTGAAATCTGACCCCACAATCTCATAAAACCATTATACCATTTCTACCCTTTTCCACTCAACCAAACAAATTTTATAGTTTTAACATTCCAGTAGTCATGCTGATGAAAAATTATGAAATTGGAATTATTCTTTAGTCACGAATAGTCAATAAATGCTTATGTTACCTTCTAATCCCTGTGGATACGATAATTTTACTACTTGAACGGCCGGTATACTTGCCGTGTTTGAGACCGTTGATAGAATTAAACTGATTTACAATTATAACAAAAGTGTTTCAACGGAAATCTCAACAGTTCTCATACCAAGTATGATCATTGTAGTTTCAACTACAAGGAAAACATAGGGTAAGCTTGTGAAAAGGATTCAACATAAGAATCTTATAAATAACGTCCTCACAATAGATATAACAACTCACTACAAGACAACATCATCAACACAACAACTTAACATCACACAACATGTTCAACATATCCTCATATATATCACATTTATTGCGTCGTCACGCATATCAACTACGAATATCTCCTACAATATAGGATAAACAATTTAAGTGGCTAAACCCTACCAAACTACACGACTGGTATAAAACTAGAAACAATGGCTTACATTGAGGCAAAAAATAATAGCTAGCACAAGGTTAGAAACAACGATTAACATAAGTTAGATTGATTTCTTACAACATGGGAGACTCCTACGAAGATCTCCTACAACATGGGGTAAACAGTTTAAGTGGCTAAACCCTACCAAACCGCAACGACTGGCATAAAACTAGAAACAATGGCTAACATTGAGGCCAAAAACAATAGCTAGCACAAGGTTAGAAACAGCAATTAACATAAGTTAGATTGATTTCTTAGGTTTTTTCACTTAAACTAGGAAGTATGGTACTATGTCAAGGTAGAACAGTTTGGGTATGCACTTACCACGACATTAGCCTGCAACACTAAGTCACCTATGGAATTAGTTTATCAACTATCCTTCAAATACCACAATCCTCTGATACTAGGTTAGAGATTACGTCCTCGACCCCATACTTTACTCAATTTCTCATTTTATACATGTGTGTCTCGACCTTGTCCACACACGAGTAACACATAAAACCTAGAGAGAAGAACTATAAAATAACTTACCTATTCGAGGACCAACTTACCTACTAAAGGGTTTCAATCAGGCTCTCGAAGCACTGCAATGTATATCCTCACAATGTGATATATATTCAACTTTCGAAAACAACTTTACTCCCCTCTAAGTTTTATGTATCATAATTAAGACATATATCTAATCCAAATTTCTATAGCTTAACAACTTTATCAACATGCAACTTATACAATGTTTAACTTTTTAACTTTACAACATATTAACTTGAACAACTTAAACAACATACATCTTTACAACATTTACAACTTGATAGAACATCATCAAGAATCAACTTAAGCAACTCAAAACAACACACAATTTTACAACGTGTTCAACGTATTATAGATCTACACATATATCATATTACAACATCATTCATACAACTATGTCATCATAAATCAACTGTTAAAACAACATTTAATAACAACTTTTCATCATACAACTCAATCAACTAAGTAACAACTTCATATTATGCAACTCATGTTTGACGCTACTCCTTAGATGTCTAGTACCATTGAGGCAAGGAGCTCCCTATCTAGTCCATGTCCAACATCAAACCATTTGTGCTTGACATGATTAAGGCAAAGAATGCTCCACATTTCCACGCATGGCATGGCAACACCCACGCCTGGCCCCAATCAGGAAAAGAGCTTTCTACATGACTCATGTCCAATGCCATTTCACCAATACCTGGTATGAATCCAAGCAGAGACCAATCTCTCATCTCACGCTTGGTGCCATTCAATCCACGCTTGGTGTGATTCCAATCCAAGACAAATCTCTCTCCTCATGTTTGGTGCCATTGATCTTATGCCTAACGTGAGTGAGACAGAGACCTCTCTTTGGAACCACGCCTACTGCCCTAAAGGCGCACCCGACACGATATCAATTTTTATACTTACGGAGAAATTAACAACCACTAACATGAGATCAACAATAGTTCATCATCTTGAAATTCAACTAAAATCAACTCAAGTTTTCCCTTACCTCTTTGAGAAGATCTGCAAAGAAGAGGAAATTAATAGGAAAGAAACTTTGTATGACTCTGACTTAAATCTTCCACTTCTACAAGCTTTGGTTCCAACCCACAACTTCAAGGTTTCAGCTGAAAGGAGTAGGAAAGGAAGGTTTTCTAGTGAGAAGGAAGAAAAGGAAAGGAAAAGGAAAAGGAAATCTCTATGTAACTTCTCTCTACAACTTTTAAAAACTTGAATTATGAATCCCTCAACTAGAAAAGTTCCTTTTATGCCTTCTTGAGATGACTCTTCTTGTCTCTAGTCCAACCTTCCAAAGATCAACTACTCTTAAGGTCTCCCAACCCTAGAGATCTTAGCCGCAATTACCAAATCAAACAATAGGGCTGTAAAATGATAGTGTTACAAAAGATGTGCCCTAACTTGCCAAGGTTTGAGCCACCCAATTTGCTTCATAGAAGATCACTTGAAGCTCCATGCCAATCCTTAATCAAGAGTTGCCAAACTTCTTAATAATGTCTTCATGAATGTGAGAAGCATTACCAGAATTCCACACATGTTGAATAGCCTCTAGCGCATACAAATGATAGACCTTAGTCCATAATTCCACACCATTTGTAATCCTTCTTGGATGGAAAGAATCTTAGCTTGAAGAGCATCACCACCCTAATAGTAATTAGAGAAGCCAACCACCTAAGCCCATTCAAAATTTCAAGCAACACCCCCAAGACCCGTGTGTTGGTCCTTATAGTTGTCATCCACATTCAGGTTCATGGAAGGGAGAATTACTTGCAAAGATTGGTTTAAACTGGATATAGTTTGCATAATACAACTGCACTATCCTACAAACCTATGAAAGAGGTCATTCTTAGCGTTCAAAAATATTGTTGAATCACCAATTCCAAGCCTCCCCCCTCCCAAATAGCAATCAAGAAAGGAGCATTGTGTTGTTGAAGGAGTTTCTCCAAACCAAATACAAGTATCATTTTGGTTGAATAGATGTTTGTTAAACATCTCCATTCTCGGCCAAAGTTCCTTAAAATAAGGACAATTCTAAAGTACATGATAAGACTATTTTGAGTGATAAAATTATTCTCTAAATATTTACTATAGTTATATATTCAACACTTCAACACAAAACTACTTATTTAAGCTAAAAACATCTCTTGTGAGTTAATTCATGTTTATGTTTTACATATTTAATACATTAAAATATATCTCTAAGAGTGTGTTTGGATGGAGAATTTAAATGGAATAATTCATGTTTTTTTTTGAAGAATTTCAAATGCCTTTGGATGAAATATTTTTTTTGTATGGAAATTTTACAAAGAATTTGAAATTCAAGTATTTTTTAGATTCTTAAAATAATAAAATTTTAAATTCTCCCAGAAAAATAAGAATTTGAAAGTCTTCATATTTTTTCTTACTTATCTTACCTATATATCTTTTATCTCTCTCCTATCTCTTAATTATTGAATATTCAAAGATATTTTTAAATTATCAAACATTGTCTAACATTAATTTTTAAAACTATTAAATATTTTTTTTAAAAATTAGATAATAATTATTTTTATAAAATTTAATCTTAAAATTTCAATATATATATATATATAATCAATTTTACTCATAATGGAAATAACATTACCATATCCAAAATAAGAATTTTAAAAATTTAAAAATTTGGATTAACTTATTTAAACAAAACATTTAAAAAATAATAAAAATTGAAATTAAAATAATTTAAATTTCAAAAATTTTAAATTTCTTGAATTTCTAAATTTTTTGGTCCAAATACACTATAAAGCAAATGTCAAAACAACGTATATTATTCATTTTTTGTTGGTTTGACAAAATTTTCTCTCTCCTTTCTGAATTGTGATTTTCCCCCTTTTTTTCATTATGTTTGATTTTTTTTTAAAAAAAAGTACTAGAAAAGAAAGTAGAAGGAAAGAAATTAAAATCTATAACTAATCTTTCTTCGCTTTTTAGGATTAAAATGAAAAATAAATTAAAAATCCTTTAAAAAAGACTTTTTGGACAAACAGCCACATGTAGTTTTAATTTTGGTTAAAAGCAGTAAATATGAAGGGATACAAAGAAATTGATTGTGTTAATTTTCTTTATTATCTTAAAAAAAATTAATTAGAACACCTAATTAAACCTATATGAAAGACAAAAATAGTAATTTAGTTTTTAAATTATAGTTTTAGTTCTTTATATTATTTTTAAGATTCATTTTTACCATTATTATTTTTAATTTTGCGACATAATTTTGAATCAAATTTTAACTGATTGAAAATGTAAAACGTGTAGCATTAGATTTACCTATATGAAAATTATAAAATGCAATTAACATTTGAATTCAAAGGAGATATAAACATAGTAAAACTATGAGAAAAATATATCTCATGAACAACTAAAAAATAATATGAGATTAGTTTTTTTTTTAAATTCTACTTTCATCATATTTATAAGATATTTGGTTTGAACTTCAATTGCAAATAATAGTTTTTATATAAAGGAATCTTATGAAATAAATTTCAAGTCTTGAGTGAATAAAAAAATGATTCAAAATAATTAAATTAACGTAAATTTAAGAGATAAATGACCAAAATGATATTTTAAAAGACAAATGATCAAAATAAATAAAAACATAAGATAAAAAATAAAAATATAATTTAACCTAATTTCTTCAATAATTTTTCTCATTTAAATCTACTTAACAATAACAATTATATAAAAAGAAATTTTTGTCTAAATTTCTACATGATCGCCACTGAACTTTGTATAAACATTTTCTTGTATCATGTTAAACAATGTTAAAAAATTGAATTAAATGTTGAACCGACAATAATCACACTAATTCAAATTGTGTAAGATATGACTTAGGGGAGAGAAAGAAACTTTGAGAACCTAAACACTTCTTTTTCTTCTTCTCAAATTTTTAAAGGAAGATTCATGCTCGGAGACTCTATTTTCTTCTTCTCTAAGACTTTGTAACTAGTGGTGATTTAAAGAAATTTGGAGCAATGAATCCCATGGAGTAGGTGCGGAGCTCAAGTTGTTGGAGCTCGAAGTCCATTTCCTTCTCCTCCTCTTCTTCTATTCGGAGTAACTCGAAGTTCTTCCCAGGTTTCGTTCCATTCTGAGTAAGAAAAGTTGGAATCTTGGATTTTGGTTGAAATATTGGGCTATTAAATAAATTAAGAACTTAATGTTAATAGAATTTATGAAATTTGTAGTTGAGGGGATGGATTTAAAATGGGTTTCATGTTGCAATTGAAGTTTTGATGTTCTTGGTGAAAGGTTAAAATGTTCATGATTTCTTTGATTATGATTGATGCATGTTACTTTTCCTTTGATTTTTGAGTTGTATGTTGAGAAAATTGGAAGGTTTGAGATTGCACATATGGGTTATTGCATAAGTTGAGAGAAATAGGAGATTTGGGATGTTCTTCATTGATGCTGAAAAATCTGAGTTCTAGGATTGAACTGAGTTTCACGTTGAGCATGAGAATTGGAAAGTGCCTCTAGAAAGTTGAGATTTTGCGTTGAGCGTTAGGGAGGCTAACGTGAGAACTAACGTGTGTCACTGGAAGGTTGAGGCTTAGTGTGGGATTTTGCACTAAGTGTGGGGACGACTTAGTCAAATAAATTTATTTTATAAATGAGTTAGTTGCTTGCTTGATGAATGAGTTGTATGTTGAAAACTTGTTGTTTGAGTTGTTTTATGGTTAAATGATAATGAATGTTATAGGGATGTTGTTGTATGATGTTACAGATATTGTACAGATATTGTTGGATACATATATTACATATATTATCCTCACTATCAATTAGGGATATGATTAGATTAGTTTCCATAATATAAGAGATTCATATCTCTATCATTTATTGTATTCACTCTATAAATAAGATTGGTGTGTGTACAACAAGACACACAATTCCTGAATCACAACATGGTATCAGAGCAATAGAAAACCAAAGAACCGTACACAGCGAGGCATCAATTTGTTGCCACTGCTCAAGGTGATCGGTAGCAATCTCAGGAAAATGAGTGGTTAAGTGGTCGGTACGTCCTTGACCACGAAACCAAAGCTGAACC